AGTTCCTTACCAGCAACCCAGGTTCATTGGGCATGTCCGATGAGACGCACAACGAGTCCGAGGCACAGGACACCTGGGATCCGCCGCTTCCTGTTCCTGTCCCCTCGGAGGCCAGACGTGTTTGTGTGGCACATGTTTTCTGTAGTTCTCCAGGTCTCTCACTCTATCATTCTTTGCGCCTTGAAATGGCGGCGGTATATGAGAATAACAGCTATATGCTGAAACACGGGCTTCCACGCTTTGTCTTAATGCAGTTTGCCTTTATCGTCCTAACCTCTCAGCGGCATTTTCTGCTTCAACATGATTGTCATGGTTCCTGGTTTGAAGTGCTCGGTAGCCCGGCGAGTGAGGCGAGACTCGCAAGAGCAGCAGAATCAAACGTAAAAGGGAGGGCCAAGGAAAAGACGATTCAGTGCTTGGTTTTCATAAGCTGGGTTGTTGTCTTGGCTACTATCGATTTGAGTGCAGGATCGCATTTGGGGCCGTGATGGCACGGTACAGCCGGTGAGCTGGTCGCGTTATGCGTCCACGTTTCCTTTCTTGGTGGCCCTCAAAAGAAGTGGCAAATACGGGAAGTACCATTTCTGCGGAGGGTCATTGATTCGCGAGACGCATGTGCTCTCAGCTGCACATTGCTTTTACCAAAATGGAGGCTGGACGGTGAACGTGGACGACATCGAGGTCTGGTGGGGACATGGGAACAACGAATGGATCAGTTCCAAAGTTGACCTTGTTGTGATTCCCTCACTCTTCACCGGACGATACTCCCGTGGTGGGTGGGATCATGATGTTGCTGTTCTCCGCCTGAGCCGACGCTTTTCAGGGGCCAGGGTGGCACGCCTGTCGCATCGATCCTCGTACTCAGTCGGCTCTGAAGCAGTGATCGCCGGATGGGGAACGGTCAATGAAGCTATGACTATCATCCGGACCGACAAGTTGCAAGAAGGCAAGAAGAGCATCGCCTCTGCATCTCATTGCCGCAAATACGACTCCAACTTCCAAAGTCAAAAAATGATCTGCACTACATCCTGGAGGTCAGGTGTCGGCAGCGGCGACAGTGGTGGGCCATTGCTGCAGTATGGCTATCAGATCGGCATTTGCTCCCATGCTTCTCGTTTTCTCGGCTATTCTTTCTATGACGCTTTCACCCGAGTGTCAAGTTTCACTGGTTGGATCGCTGGTGTATTGTCCGAGCATCCATAAGTCAGTGGACCTGATGCAGAAGAGGATTTGAGACAACACCCTCAGAAAGGCATGAAGGTCAGACGTTCAACCTCGTACTCATGGATGCATTTTCCTCCTTGGTCAATGATGTAGACCAAACCTTTCTAAGTTCAGGTACTGAGGCAATCCGTTTTTGAATGGAATTCGAATTAGCTTGGGTCAACAACCAAGCTGACCAACTCTAATGGTTGTTTTAAGCAGTTTTGCAGAACCGGGCGCCTAGTGAACAGGTGCCAGGAGGAGGTGCCGGTGTTCCATAAGTGAGCTACCTGCTGGGGTGCCTAGACTTCTGCAGCCAAGAAACCAGGCATACAACGCGGGCAGTGTTAAGCGACAGATGCAGAGCAAGGTTGAAAATGCGGCCTTTGGTTAACCAAGAATGAAGGACTGGATCCTTATA